AAAATGGTACAGTAGGAAATGTTTCACGATAGGGGGGAGATGAAGGCGAACGGTAGGAAGGGTAATAGTCGATTTAGCGGGCAATCTGGGTGGTTTGCATTGCACGGGGTTTGTTTACGTTTCGCGCACGATAGACGCGGTGTTAGGTACACAAAGCCAAGGTGCATCTTATCTCTATTTGTTCCCACTCCGGCTTGAAGACTCGCTCTACTAAGACCCAGCCTGTCCCTGTTTTGTGCCTTAAACAATCACACATGCCAGGCCTGGCCATGTACGCGTCGTTTGGCTGCCTGTCAGAGTGGCATGAGAGAGCCGTAGATCGCAAGCTCACGCTGTCACGTGACGAACTCCGCTTAACCCCGAGGCCCGGGACAGCCCCGGATGAACTGATCATCAACCGCAAGAGATTTGCTGGAGCCGTCATACTTGTTCAGTACCTGGGAAAGCTACCTAACCAACCCCAGAGACTCCAACCCCAAGCACCAACGTCACAAGACCCTCAACCAGACCGAGGCTCTGCGGTCGGCGGTGAGGCTACCGATTAATACATTGCACAACTATTTCGACCCATTGAGAGTGCCTCCATGAACTAGCTCTCAGCTGCAGACGCCCAGCATCATCCCCTTACCACCTCTCTGACTCCGGTCATTCCGCCCTCCACACGCCACCATCATCACCACAACCTCCGACCATGGCCGGACTCCTCCGTCAATCCACGCAGCTGGCGCGGGTCGCAAGACAAACGCAGCGGGCGACATTATGCAGAGCACTGCTGCGCCCATCACGAGTGGCGCGTCAGCTGCCACTGGCGATCCGAACCACCTCCCTACCACACTCCCCTGCCAGGCTATACTCGACGCAGGGTCCGCAACCCCCCAAAGACGAGAGCAAGGACCCGATCAAGCCGAACGAAGATGAGCTGAAGGCCAAGGACGACGCCGCGGCTCAACTGGAGAAGGAGCGCAAGGACTGGCCCCTGCCCGAGGGATGGACATACCTGACCGAGGACGAGATGACGGTGCTTGCCGAATTCGGCAAGAACGAGAGGTTGCCGCAGTGGATGCGCGACGATTTCGCACACAACCTTGAGAGCATGCGGGTCACGGGCGCGCCCAAGGAGCTCGGCGAGATGCTGGCGGACCGGAAACCCGGCGACATGACCATTGTCGAGATTGGCAAGTTTCTTCGCGTCATGAGCAAGATGGCCAACCGGCTGGCAGAGTACGAGACGGCCAAGGAGCTGCGCGAGCATGGCCACGAGGATGCGGCGAAGCAGGCGGGCCGCAAAGAGAGCTCGCAGGACGGCGAGCAGGACAAGAAATCGGAGCAGGGACAGAAGAAGAAGAAGGACGGCAAGACGGGTGATGGCAGTGGTGGCAAGGATGGCGCAGACGCCGGCAGCCCGTTTGCGAAGAAGTGGTTCTTCGGCCGCTTCAGCACGGGCGACCTCATCATGGCTGGTATCGTCTGGGCTGTCGTCCTGCCCTTCTTCGAGTCGAGCTTCTTCGGCCAGCAGAAGGAGATCACCTGGCAGGAGGTGCACAAGAACTTCCTCGCCAAGGGCCTTATCAAGAAGCTCACGGTTCTGTCCAGCGGCAAGGTGCGCGTCGAGCTGAACCAGGAGGGTGCGCAGAACGCGTATGACGGCTTCGACCAGAACACCCAGTACTACTTCTCCATCGGCTCAGTACAGACGTTTGAGCAGCAGCTGGAGCAGGCGCAGAAGGAGCTCGGCATCCCGTCGGCTGAACGCATTCCCGTCAACTACGCCAGCGAGGGTGGTCTTTGGCAGGTCGCCATGGCCTTTGGCCCGACCATTTTGCTCGTTGGTCTTCTCATGTACACCACGAGGAGCCTCGGCGGTCGCGGTGGCGGTCAGATGTTCGGCGGCTTCAGCAAGAGCAAGGCCAAGATGTTCAACCACGAGACGGCGGTCAAGGTCAAGTTCAGCGATGTGGCGGGCATGGACGAGGCCAAGGCTGAGATTATGGAGTTTGTCAGCTTCCTGAAGGCGCCTGAGCGGTTCGAGCGCCTGGGTGCCAAGATTCCCCGTGGTGCCATTCTGTCTGGACCCCCCGGTACGGGTAAGACGCTGCTCGCCAAGGCAACGGCAGGCGAGTCTGGTGTTCCTTTCTTCAGCGTCAGCGGTTCCGAGTTTGTGGAGATGTTTGTCGGCGTCGGTTCCTCGCGAGTGCGTGACCTCTTTGCATCGGCCCGCAAGAACGCGCCCTGCATCATCTTCATTGACGAGATTGACGCCATTGGTCGTTCTCGACAGGACGGCAACCGGATGGGCGGCAACGACGAGCGCGAGTCGACACTGAACCAGATCCTGACGGAGATGGACGGTTTCAACACTTCTGAGCAGATTGTTGTGCTTGCCGGCACGAACCGAGCTGATGTTCTCGACTCTGCTCTTACACGACCTGGCCGTTTCGATCGGCACATTTACATTGACAGGCCGACGATGAAGGGACGACAGGACATCTTCAAGGTGCATCTTAAGAAGATTGTGACCAACGAGGACCTGGAGCATCTCATTGGCCGGCTGTCGACACTGACACCGGGATTCTCTGGTGCGGACATTGCCAACGTCGTCAACGAGTCTGCACTAGCTGGTACGTTCACCTCACCCTTGCACCCGTTGTGGAAACTAGAACTAACTCGCTTATTCTCCTTCTTTGCAGCCGCCCGTGTCAATGCGCAGTCGGTTGAGCTCATTCACTTTGAGCAGGCAATCGAGCGTGTCATTGGCGGTCTCGAGCGCAAGTCGCTGGTGCTCAAGCCCGAGGAGAAGCGAACGGTGGCGTACCACGAGGCGGGCCACGCCATCTGCGGCTGGTTCTTTGAGCACGCAGACCCGCTGCTCAAGGTGTCCATCATCCCGCGCGGCAAGGGTGCGCTGGGATACGCGCAGTACCTGCCGGCGGGCGATGCGTACCTCATGACGGTGCAGCAGCTGATGGACCGCATGGCCATGACGCTGGGCGGGCGCGTGTCGGAGGAGCTGCACTTCCCGACGGTGACGACGGGCGCGAGCGACGACTTCCGCAAGGTGTCGCAGATGGCGCGCAAGATGGTGACCGAGTGGGGCATGTCGGACAAGGTCGGCCCGCTGCACTTCAGCGAGGACCCGAACCAGCTGCAGAAGCCGTTCTCGGAGCTGACGGCGCAGGCGATCGATGCCGAGGTGCGCAGCATTGTCGACAAGGCGTACGCGCAGTGCCGGGACCTGCTGTCGTCGAGACGCACCGAGATTGGCCTCGTGGCCGAGGAGCTGCTGAAGAAGGAGATGCTGACGCGCGACGACATGGTGCGCCTGCTGGGCAAGAGGCCGTTTGAGGACCACCAGGACTTTGAGAAGTACTTTGGTGGCGGCAGCAAGAGCGCGCCGCCGCCGCCACCCGCGGAGGAGGCGGGCAGCCCGCCGCCTGAGCAGCCGTCGCCGGCGTTCCGCAAGGTGGACGAGGCGGAGAGGTAGGCCACGGTACGGTGCCTGCAGGAGACTATGCCTGCCTACGGTACACGTGATACACGGAGAAATAGAGGCCCTGACCGGCCTCCAGCGGACAGGACGAGGAGGCCGGGGCGGGGTTGTTTTGACACTCTACTTTTGTTTTCGAGGAAATCTACACTTGGTCGCTGGGCTGTACTCTAGGAGCCGGAGGGGCGCAGCGCGGAAGGCCGCAAAACGGGCGGTTTTTGATAGACACAAAATGTACCATATGTGTAAATACACCACTACTGTTCACTGGCCCATGCTCCCCAGGCCGTCGAAGCTCGATGACTGGAAGACGACAGGAGGGCTCGGTCACCGAATCCTCCAGTCATTCCACTTGACTTGAGACGCCGTGTCGGGAACGTGGGTGGGTGGAATGACGTTCAAGCGATCGACATGTACACGAGGGCGGGACATGGGCAAGCGGCAGAGTTTATCGCCGAAATAACCTGCCCAGGCAGAAAAAAAAAGAAGATGGCAGGGGGGGGGACCCATAGAAATGATTCAATGGGTATTCCCAAAGAGCAAAGGTGAAATGCGCCGTGTACAGGCTCGGCTTCTGCTTGGAAAAGACTGGAACTGGCGGCTGCAAAGTGAAAGTTGAGCTGGCGGCGGTGAGCAGCAAGGGTGGTGTGGTCAGGGGAGGCAGTCATGGTGAAAGAATACCTTGGGCTTGTGAGGTCTGAATTGGAATGTCGGGCGCTCGAGGGTCCCCAGGGCCGAGAACGTGGCGCCCGTGTCGTCGGTTGAACGTTTGGGTCTTGGGTCTTGGGTCTTGGGTCTTGGGTCTTGGGGGGCTTCCTCTTCCAGCTTTGTTCCACAGACCACTGAGACCAGAGAGAGAAGATGCCGGTGGCAGCGATCAGCAGCAGTCTGCCGGCTAGCGCTCGAATGGCGTCTGATGGTAGCCTCTCTCTCTCTCTCCACATGTCGCCTCCCCCCCAAAACGATGACGGCCCCCTGGTCGACCATTACTCGATGTGCTTCCCTCGTTACCAGGGCCTCATTACCAGGGCTGGTAAGGTCCCGTCATGGCCTTCTCCGGAGGCGCGACCGGGCGTATATATGAGCTTGTTCCGTAGCCGTAGCTTCTCCCGGCTGGATGACTGGACTGCAAAGTGGTTTGTGCAGTAATCGAAGCCATCGACAATCTCAAGGTAATGGACCTTACTTGAAGTACCTACCTTGGGTTTGGTTGCCGGTCCTCTGTTGGCAGCCTCGCTTGTTTCTCTCAGGCCTTCGCAGCACTGCAGCCTCTGTACAGATTCACTGTTTCCTCATTCCTCCTGCTCCTGCTCCCGGGTGTCGACCCACTTGCCTGCTACCTTGCTACCTACCTACCTACCGAGGAAGTAACCAGGTACCTTGGGTAACACCCTACTCAAGGCCCTGCCGCCATCGTCACCACCCATTCTTTCCGCTTCCTCTACCCAAGCATCCCACACCAAGCCGCTGCTTCAAACCTCCGCTGCAAGCCTCTGCTTGGTCCACAACCGTGGCCATGGCCTCTGCCAGCACGGACGACACCAAGATGGATGCCGCTGACCCGGTTCCTGACGTTCCTCGCTCTGTCGATACTGGGCCTCGTTCCGCCGAGACTGAGGTCGAGACCCCCGCCACAACATCACCTGCCAACAATGGCTCTGGCAAGTGGTGGCACGTCCGTCTCTTCCGTGGCATGATCAACGATGTCCGTCGTCGAGCCCCCTACTACGGCACTGACTGGAAAGACGCCTGGGATTACCGTGTTGTGCCTGCGACGGTGTACATGTACTTTGCCAAGTAGGTCAAAAAGATGCTACATGCACCGTCTGCCAACAAGAACCTTCCGATTGACAGTTGCGCAGCATCTTGCCGGCCCTCGCCTTCTCCCTCGACATGTTCACCAGCACCGGCTCCAGTTACGGCGTCAACGAGGTCCTGTTGGCCTCCGTCCTCGGCTCTGTCCTGTTCTCTCTGTTCGCGTGCCAGCCCCTCGTCATTGTCGGTGTGACGGGGCCCATCACCGTGTTCAACTAGTACGTCTCCCTTCTACAGACCATCGTCTCCCTTCTACAGACCATCGTCTCCCTTCTACAGACCATCGTCTCTCTTCCACAAATCATGTGATCTGGGCCAATCCTGACCTCGGCAGCACCGTCTACGACATCATGGAGCCCACTGGTGTCAACTACCTCGCCTTCATGTGTTGGATCGGTATCTGGTCGCTCATCCTCCACTGGATTCTTGCCATCACCAACTCGTGCAACTGGCTGCGATGGGTGACCCGCTTCCCCTGTGACATCTTTGGCTTCTACGTTGCCTTCATCTATCTGCAGAAGGGCATCCAGGTGCTCGAGCGACTCCCCGACGGCCCTGGCTTCTACCTGTCCATCGTTGCCGCCCTGCTCGTCTTCATGGTCGCCTACATCTGCGGCGAGCTCGGTACGAGCGCTCTCTTCCACCACCACATCCGCGTCTTCCTCAAGGACTACGGCACACCCTTGACCCTCATCTTCTTCACCGGTTTCGTCTACATCGGACGCATGTCTGATGTCCACCTGGAGAGGCTACCCACCAGCGTCGCCTTCATGCCGACGGCCGACCGCGACTGGCTCGTCGATTTCTGGAACATCAGCGTCGGCGACATCTTCCTGGCGCTGCCCTTTGCCGTTCTTCTGACCATCCTCTTCTGGTTCGACCACAATGGTATGGTTCTTTCTTCCCTGTTTCCATGTCGTAAAATCCTAACCCACTGCAATAGTCTCCTCGCTCATCGCACAAGGCACCGAGTTTCCTCTTCGAAAGCCTCCTGGCTTTCACTGGGACTTCTTCCTGCTTGGCCTCGCCGTTGGTGTCGCCGGTATCCTCGGCCTGCCCTTCCCCAACGGCCTCATCCCGCAAGCCCCCTTCCACACCGAGGCTCTCACCGTCAAGAAGGCTCGCCCCGAAACAGACGAGAAAGGCAACCTTACGGGCTCCCACGTCGTCGAGCCGAGCCACGTCGTTGAGCAGCGCTTCTCAAACCTCGCGCAAGGCCTCCTCACGCTCGGCACCATGACCGGCCCATTGCTCGTCGTCCTCCACCTCATCCCACATGGCGTTCTTGCCGGCCTGTTCTTCGTCATGGGCGTCCAAGCCCTCGAAGCCAACGGCATCACAGCCAAACTCCTCTTTCTCGCTCGCGACCGAGCTCTCACGCCGCCGGCGCACCCACTGCGTCAGGTTCGCCGTCGCGTCATCTGGATCTTTGTCGGCATTGAGCTGCTTGGCTTCGCCGTCACGTTCGCCATCACGCAGACAGTCGCAGCCGTCGGCTTCCCCGTCTTCATCATGCTGCTCATTCCGGTGAGGGCCCTGCTGCTGCCCAAGTGGTTCACGGTCCGGGAGCTCGCGGCCCTCGACGAGCCGACTGCCTCGCCGTTCATCATGGAGAACGTAGGAGGCGCATACGGCGGACCAGCCGCTGAGACCGACGACATGGAGAGGGCCGTGAGCGCCACGGCGGCGAGGAGGCCGAGCAGGAGATACAGCGAGCAAGAACTGCGACAGCGGGACGGAGTGTTTGCTTCTCCTGGGGCTCCAAGACGCAGCGAGGAGGACGTCGCAGAACGGGGCATGTTGACGAGCACGGCAACCAGGAGGAGCAGTCGCGGTGCGGCAAGCTCGAGGGCGGCGCTGAGCCGCGTCGGCTCGGGGGGTTCGAAGCACGATTGAGCGGCTGACCATGCACGTGAGCATTTTCTTTTCCTTTGCAAAGCATTTCATGCGAGATACCACGATACACAGGTATATAGACACACGGGGAGAGAGGGGGGGAGAGAGATATAATATTTGTAATAAATGTCGGAGAGTCTTGATTAAACACATGTCTAAATCATGTCATGACCTTTGTGTGATTTGAAACTGATGAACGCCAGATCGCTAATGCCAGGTCCCCCCCCTATTCTTCATCGCTGCTTTCCATGACAAACCCGCCCTTGATCCTTTTCCGCGGCCTCGCGCTCGGCACTGGCAGGTCATCTTCATCCTCGTCGTCCATTTCGACGTCACCGTCAGCATCCACGACCCCAGACCCTTTCCGCTTCCTGCCCTCTTGGCTCGACGACGCAGACGCCTCTTCGCCATTGCCGTCTTCATTCTCCTCATCCGTCCCCGCCCCGTGGATATCGGCAAGCAGAACATCGTCATCATCGTCATCACCCACCGCTATCGACTGCGGCTCCTTCCTCGCCGCCGGCACAGCGACCTCGGACACGTCCACCCCGGCGGCGGCGGCCCTGGCCATCCTCGTGCGCTGCGCCTCCTCGCGCGCAAAAAACGCCGCGTCGCGCTCGTCGTCCGTCTCGTCGTCGCTCGCCGCGACGTAGAGCTGCGACTTGATCTTCTCCAGCTTGGCCCTCTCCCTCTCGCGGCGGGCGCGCGCCCGGGCCCGCGCCGCGTCGTCGTCGTCGTCGTCGTCGGAGCCCGAGGCGGCGGGGTCCCGGGCGGCGGCGCTTGCGCACACGCTTCTTCTT